CATACTTTGGTGGGTGTTTCATTCTATAAGCCACACTAGTCTCTCTTTTGTAGGGATTCAAATTGATGATGAGGAACTTGCCTGTTTTGTTGAGCGTGTTGATAAGGATAATATTGGGGTTCTAACATTTGGGGAATGGAGGGATTTTCTGCTGCTTTACCCTCATGAGGCGACTATTGAGAACATTCACCATTACCTGGAGCGGGTATGCCTGGTGGATTTTGGGGAACAGACTGTTATTCCAGCAGGCATTACTCAGCACATCTGTGCAAGTAGCAGGGGTAGCAGGTGCTGCATCGCGAACAACAACTGCACTCCTTGATTGTTTAAAGGTTGTATTGCAGGTCCAAACAACACGAGCTCATACAATGCCTGCAATAAAAGATATATGGAAAGAAGGTGGCCTGCTATTATTTTATCGAGGCAATGGCTTAAATGTTCTTAAGGTGGCCCCTGAGAGTGCTATTAGATTTTACACCTATGAGAAGTTGAAGACCTTCATTATGAATGCTAAAGGAGAAGAGTCAAAGGCTGATATTGGAACTATGGGACGGCTGCTAGCTGGTGGTATAACTGGTGCTGTAGCTCAAACTGCAATGTATCCTCTGGATCTTGTTAAAACACGGATACAAACTTATGCTTGTAAAGGTGGAAGTGTTCCCAGTTTTGGAATTGGAACCCTCTCGAGAGATATATTGGTTCAGGAAGGACCCCGTGCATTTTATAAGGGCTTGATTCCTTCTGTTCTGGGGATTATCCCATATGCTGGCACAGATCTTGCTGCATATGAAACATTCAAAGATATGTCAAAGAAATATATTTAGTGATGAAGGTAATATACTTTGTTGAAATTCTGAGATTTCTGTAGAGCCTGGTCCTCTTGTACAATTAGGGTGTGGGACAGTGTCAGGTGCCCTTGGAGCAACCTGTGTTTACCCTTTGTAGGTTGTGAGAACAAGGTATGCTTTGGTTGTGATGTCTAAGATGTGGCTACACATCAAACAACTTCATTTCATCTTTTATAGAAATTATAAAGTGCAATAGCTTTTGATTTCAGAATCCAGGCCCAACATGCTAATGTGGGAATGGCCGATGTGTTCAGGAGAACCTTTGAACATGAAGGGTTTAGGGTTTTCTACAAAGGACTATTTCCGAACCTGCTCAAAGTTGTTTCATCTGCTAGTATCACTTATTTGGTATATGAGAGTATGAAAAACGGATTGGAGTTGGAGTGATTAACTTTGCTGCCTCATTTGATAATTTGTCTAACTGACATGGCTGACCGTTTGCAACTACAGGAGTGGTTCTGCAATGAGACATTAGTGACAAGAATAAAGTCCCCATTTGATTTTATGACAATTGTTTACGATCACTATTAAATGACACCACTTTTATCAAAATTCTTGGAGGATGAAATTGGTTTGTCCTGCTTGCTGCTTCATTAACTGTGTGTATGAAGCTTCATATCTATCAAGAATAGATTTTGTTGTATGCTGAAGTGTACAAAAAACCCAGTCAGGATCCGATTTTGTACTATGTAATGGCTCAGATTGCTAATCTTACTCTCAATTTTTTGGTATCTTTCCAGAGTTAGAATGCCACTAATTTTGGTAATGACTATAATGCCTCTTTAAATTTGCTAAAGTGTGACTGAAGACATGGTGTTGTTTACCTCCTATGAACAGTATGTCTTGCATCTTGCTTTCTTTTTCCTTTTCTGTTTTTTGTTTGGTGTAGGATGTTTGAGGAGATTGTTTTGAATGTAAGACTGAATGATTGTAACCTTTTATCATAAGCTTGGATGTTAAGGCTTCTGTTTTGATTTGTTAATAGTATAATTATTAAAATGTATTAAACAAATATAAGACAATCTTCTCAGATGTATTAAATTTGTTAAGTTTAATGATGTCCTTACAGAGGCTAACTAAACTACTGATTGGTTGGCTAAAATTGGTCTTAAAGTTGGGCTGTCTTCCTCTTTTTTATTAAGGCGCCATCTTTGCTGGAACCTTTCTTAAAGCTTCATACTTTTAAGAACTATGTAGTTGAGGTCAATGACCTACTTTCTGTTTCTTTATTAGACTTTATGGCCGTTCAATAGAAAAAAATAAAAGTCTTGTAAACCCTAAAGGTTAAAAACCGGTGAAGTGATCTAGTCTCAAATTTGTAAAACTATACAAAAGTATCTCACTATGAGCCTATGATTCCATCAACATTCCATGAGAAGCCATATCTTTTGACCCCAAAATATTTGAGAAGCCACATCTATAACTTTCTGAGATAGATAATTAATATTTGTTAGCCTTGTTGATGTGATGTATTGTTGGATTTTGTACAATTTTCTTCTTTTCTTCGGTTCTTTTCTTGTTAGAAAATTAAGATATGTGCTTTATTTGATTTTGCTTTAGAATTTATAAGATTATTAAATTGTGTTTAGTTTCTTGTACATTGTTGTAACATTTTTATCATACTTTTTATTAAAAGTGGGTTTGAGTATTTTAGTATATAATTTTTTTGGATTTTGTTAATCTCAATTTTTAAGGCTGAGTTTAAGTATTTATAAATAAAAAAAATTTATGAAAAAAGTATATCATTATTATATTAAAATTATAAAAGTACAATAAATACTTTTTTTTAATAAATTTTTACTATTATTAGTTGTTTATCTTTAGTGTTAATAGTTAAGGTTAATGAAACTCAATTTTTTTTATTAAAAAACAATAAATTTTTATAAACGTTGAACGGTACAGTAACATTAAAAAAATTGATCCAAATTATTTGAAATTGTTAAATTTTAGATAAAAAAAATCATATAATTTCTCTTTTGGCAGTTTGGTTTAAATTTCAGTTGATATTTAAAAAACTAAACTACAAGTAAATTACTTTCTATTATATTTTTAAATATATATTAATCTAAAATACAGATACAAATAGATATTTATGTCTATTTTCATAATTTTTTAGACTACAATTTTGATCGTCAAGTTAATATTTCTTTAAATATTTAATTTTGTTCAAATTTATTTTCATTACTTATAGTTTAATTAATTAAAATATATATAAAAAATAATATTTATACCTTTTTATATTTTAATATAAAATATTAATTAAAAACATGTAAAATATAGTGTAAAATTACAATAAGTACAAAAAAAAAAAAAAAACAATACAAATTTTTAACATTAACATAATAAAATATTATATATTATAATTTATCTATTGTCAAAAGCAAAATAATGAAACAAAATTCTAACAAAGTTACTTTTATTTAGTTACAAGTCTTGTACTAATACATTATAAGGTTTGTAAAAAAAAAAAAATACATAACTTTAATTAGTTAGATATTATATAATAAAATTAATATAAATAATCAAGTTTTTTTTATATATTTCTTTTAAATTAGATTCTTCAATATTTTACAATCATTTGTATTGGATACTTAAATTTGGTTCAAAGATAAAAAAAAATAATGATAAAAAAATTTAAATTTAATATTGTATATATTTATTTTAATTATATTTAAAAAGAGTCTATTTTACACTCTTGTATGTTTGGTTATGAATTTTAAAACTATATAATACGACATTCTATACTTTTAGAGGTGTGTAAATTTTTTTTTATTACTTAACCATCTAATTTCTCTACAAAAGAGGAGAAATTAGATTTTAGAGTATTTTTATCTAAAAATTAGACACTTTATTGTACACTTTTAAAAGTATACAATGTCACGTTGTATACTTTTAAAAATCAAGATATAAATTACCCGTAACATAATTATACTTATAAAGAAACAAAATAAACTTTTTTTTTTTAATATTCATACTATATATACAGAATACAAGTGTAATACCATTCATATGCCCACAATCACATAATTTTATAAAAATATACTTGTATCATAATGGATTTAGTGAGTAATTATTCTATCTGTTAATTTTTTTTTTTTTTTGCAAGTACCCATTGGATTGAACAATTGTAATCCCTAATATAAAGTATATATATATATATATATATATATATATATATATATTCCATTTAATGTAAAGTATATTTTATTAAATATATTTGTATTTTTTTAATATAAACTTTACATTATTATAATTTGTAATTTAAATAAAGTTATAATTTGTGAATAAGATTTAACATTTTTAGTTATTTGTTTTATAAATAATATATTTAACTTTTTGTTTCATTAATTTTTTTCATAATTACTATATATGTTTGGAATTTAATAAATATTTTTTATATATTAAAATCAATATATTTTAAATTGTCGACTTAACAGATACATGTTTTCCTAATTTTATTCTTTAAAAGAAATTATTCTTGTAACTAAAGAATTTAATTAGATAAAAATAAAATCACCAAAAAATAATAATTACCACAGTCAAGCACAAACCAGAGCTTAATAAACTACAACATTTGTTCCTATTTCTACACCTTAAATTTCATAATTTATTATACTCTCTTCTATTCATAAATCTTAGTCTTATATATATAAAGAGTTAAATATAATTTTTTTTTATTTTGTTATCTTCTATTTGTAAATTTTAAAATGTTATCAAAATAAATAATTTTTTCATAGTTGTGTATTATATTATTGTAAATTTTATTTTTTCCTTTTATCAGCAGCCTAATATTATTTTATGAGTAAATATTTATTTTAATTCCTCAAATTATAATGTTAATTAATTTAATTTTAATTTTATAAAAAATTTATATTAATTCTAAACTTTAAAATGATATTTATTTTAATCTTATATATATAAAAATAGAATGATAATAAAATAAAAAAGTTTTAAAATTTAGAATGAAATCTTTATAAAGTTAAAACTGCTAAACGTCCATAAATTTAGAAACGGGCTTTAAGGTCTAAAACCTGGTGACTGTGCAGCGTACGTGTAGCGACCAAAAACAATAAAGAAGCGGGCTTTAAGGTTTATAACCTTCCTGACCACAAACCAAAAAAAAAAAATATAAAGGCTTATAAACCTTCTTAGTTCATTTGTTCATCCCTTCCGCCGCTGTGTGCTACCATACCTCTGCAAAACCTAGGGTTAAGGCTTTTTCTGAGGTTTTCTGTGGTGTTTTCCCAAGATGGTGAGTAACTCATCTTTATCTTAATACTTCCTTAGATCTGAAACCGTTTCTCCCATTGTTGGTTTCGTATTTTCATTCTTTGCTTTAGAAATTGAACAATGCCATATATCTGCTTTGTGTGTGAGTAGGTTCTTCAGAATGATATTGATTTGTTGAATCCCCCAGCGGAGTTGGAGAAGAGAAAACACAAGCTCAAGCGTCTTGTTCAGTCACCAAATTCTTTCTTCATGGTATTTAATGCTCTTTTGCTTTAAACTATTATTCTTATTGATTGATCTGAAATGTAAGATTGGCTTAGTTCACAAATTTTAAATCACTGTTTTTTTTTTAAATAACAAACCCTATTTGGAGGATGTGAAGTTTTGATAATTTGTCTGTTAATTATTTGTTGCAGGATGTTAAATGCCAGGGTTGTTTCAATATGTAAGTTATTTCTTGCAGTTTATTTGTTTATAATGATATTTAGGTAACTTGGATGTGAATTTGAGTATGTTCTGTTTCTAACTTGGATGCAGAACCACTGTGTTTAGCCACTCTCAGACAGTTGTGGTGTGTGGCAATTGCCAGACTGTGTTGTGCCAGCCGACTGGTGGACGGGCAAGGTTAACTGAAGGTTGCTCATTTAGGAAGAAGGGAGACTGAGTGGTGCGATGACTTCTCTTTATCCAGGAGAGTTTTGGTTATTAGGCTGTTAAGATGGAAGCAACTTTAGTTATGATGTATTAATTTTGTTAAATTTTAAGACTTTAATTCTGAACCTTTAAGACATGATGGGGCCATCCAATCTTGAATTTCTTTGCTGAAGTGGATGTGGTTTTGTTGGATATTTATTTTTATAATTTTCTTTACTGAAATCGATGTGGTTTATTTTGATATTTGTTTTTAAAATTACGTGTAAGCATGCACTTGCAACTGTTTGTTAACATCATTTGTTTGTGTTTTTGTTATGTGAATTGTGATACTGGGGAAATACATTCCACAAAATATGCCATCATTCTACATGCATGCAGAGTGTTTTTTTGTTCTAAACGTGCAATATTTTGGCCATGTTCTTGGCAGGAGACAGTTATGCTGATGATTATAATTGTTTACAATAATGGGCTGTATTTTTTCTATACGAATTATGTCGCTTGTTATGTAGATGGCATATGCCTATTGATGCTCTTGTTAAGCATACATTACGTGCTGAATTGGTTTTTCTTTGTTTTAGAGGCACTTCGTATATTTTTGGTCCTTTCATTCTGTTGGAATGAAATTCTCAGTTGTTTTGGGGATTGATTTAGTTAACTGAGATTCTTTCAACATCAATTTTCTTGGGTTTTCTTTTCTTCCTTTTTTTTTAGCATTTTTTTTGGCGCCTAAGGCCGAGCGCTTCCCTCTTTAGTCAGGGGTGGCGTGGTATTCCACGAGAGAGGGTATTCTATGTGGCGCACCCTTAAGGTGCGTAGGCGCAAATCAATTCTATGAGGGGCTCCTTGGCCGCTTTCCTGCTTTAGTTTTAGCAGTTTAAGCGAGGGGGTTTTGCCCTACACATCATTGAAAATTCATGTCATTAAATTGTTTTGATGGTTGATTAGGCATGATGCAAATTCAAGTGTCATTGAAGTGTTTTGATTGTTAATAGGCATGTTTTGTTTTAAACTTGTAAGTTGTAGTATTAAATTTGAATTGACTCTGTTAAAAAAGGCAGCGCATTAGCATTTTAAATTTATAACATATTGTTAATATTTGCCATTGAATTTTGAACACAATTCATTGGTCATTGATTTAAAAACTGGATGAAGATAGTGAACTAAGCTTTATATTCTTTCAAAGCCATAAAAGAATATAATCTTCACTGGGTTTTCACAACCCGCCTTTCATGGTTTCCTCCGCCAGGTGTGGACAGCTCCAAAATCAGAGCGACTTCCACAATTGCATAATCTGCTTTAATCTTCATAATTATGTCCTAGGTGCTAATACTACTCTTTAAAATGCCATCACATTTTGTTCCCTTGAGAAGTAAAGTTTGCTAATATATTAATATACTTCTTTGTGTATCATGTTCTGTACCACATGCTATAGCTGTTTGTTGAAATTCTGAGATTTTCTGTAGAACCTGGTCCTCTTGTTCAATTAGGGAGTGGGACAGTGTCAGTTCCCATGGAGCAATCTGTGTTTACCCGTTGTAGGTTGTGAGAACAAGGTATGCTTTGGCTGTGATGTCTAAGTTGTGGCTACCCATGAAACAACTTCATTTCATCTTTTATAGAAATTATAAAGTGCAATAGCTTTTGATTTCAGAATCCAGGTTCAACATGCTAATATGGGAATGGCCGATGTATTCAGGAGAACCTTTGAACATGAAGGATTTGGTGATTCTGAAATAAAAAAAGACCCACTACATGCCTCACGGGAAAAAAATATCCCGCTTCGAGCCTATGATTTCAATTAACATTTCCATGATAAATATATAAAAACTCAACACTACACCAGACCCAAAAACATGAGAATTAACATTTATAACTTTTAAATAGATAATCAATATTTGTTAGCCTATAGTTGATGTGATGTATTGTTGGATTTTGTGTGAATGCTTATGTTGTTCGGTATTTTGGTAGAGAAATAAGATTTTTCCTTTATTTTATTTTGTTCTATTTAGAATTTATAACACTGTTAAATTGTGATTGGTTTTTAGTAGGGGTCTATTTGCTCTTCTTGTACATGGTTGTAACGTTGTTATTATTCTTTAATTGTGAGTATTTTAGTTTATGAATTTTTTATCACAGAAAAAAGGGCATATGTTGAACGGCGTAGGAATGTTAAAAAAATTTGATCCAAACCATTTTAAATTGTTAAAGTCTTCAATAAATAATAAAAAAAAAAATAAACCATTAGATGAAAGAATCACATTTTTTGGTTTTGTAATTTGGTTTAGATTTTGGTTCCTATTTTTAAAATTAAATTGCACTACAAACATATTAATTTTCTATTATTTTCTTAAATAAATTCCCGTGCCCAATTTTAAAAATTATCCGTAGTCATGTTAGGTAATGATTTTGATTCTCATCTTCCTATCTTGCTGGGCATCTAAATCCATTACTTTCTGTTTTGTTAATTGAAATACAGGAAGAAAAAAGAAGATAAAATATAATTTTCACACTTTTATAAATTAATATAAATCATTAACTAAAAACACGTAAAACATAGTGCAATATGCAATAAGTATAAAAAACTTGAATATAATATAAATTTCCAACATCAACGAGATCAAATTCTATATTATAATATCATTTATCTAAAGTGAAAACATATATTAAAATAAATTTTTGACAAAATTACTTTTATTTAGTTGAAGGTTTTGTACAAACACTTTCTATGGTTCGTAAAAAAAAAAAAACTTTAATTAGTTGCATGTTGTACAATCAAATTAATATAAATTAATATAAATGATTAAGTTTTTTTTTTTACATTATATTTGAAAAAAAATTACAATTATTAATAGTTCATACTTGAAATTTTTTGCTTTAGATTTTGAATGAAAAATAGTCTAAATTTTAATATTTATATATTTGTTTTAATTATATTAATATTTTATATATGTAAGATACGAGTCAATAGAAAGGAGCATTATAATAATGTACGTGCACCCATATAATTATATGAATATTTACTGATACCTATGTCATAGTATTGTTTACAAGTACCCATTAAAAAGACTAATTATTACCATTCATAATTTAAAGTAACTTTTTATTTATATATTTTTTAAGATAAACTTTAGATTATCATGATTTGTAATTTAGATTAAATTATAATTTCTGATAAAAATAACGCTTTTCATTAATTTTTGTTTAATTAATGTTTTTATAATTACTATGTATGTTTGGAATTCTAATAAGAAAAATTTATAGATTAAAATCAGTGTATTTTGAACTGTCGAAGTGGGAGTTAGAAATTCTCTCTCGGCCCTCACCTGAAGGCAATTATTCCTGTAACTAAGGAATCTGATTACGATGAAAATCAAATCTCAAATAAAGATTTGATTATTATTACAATTAAGCACATGTTTCTACTCCTTAAATTTCAAAAAATTCATATTTTATTCTCTTCTATTCATAAGTTCTAAAATTTCAATTAAATCAAATATTATCAAAATAAATATTTTTCTCATAATGTTAAGCTATATTGATGTATATTTTTATTTCTTCTTTTTAACGTATATAATAAGAATTTTATACTTTTTAAAAATATACTTTTGTTTTCCTTTTTTAATATATATAATATAAAAATATAAAATACAAGTTCAAAATGTTAGAATATAAAAGATTAAGTGATAGATAACAATAAATAAATAAATAAAAAGTTTACATGTATGTTGACTACAGTAACTATCGTTGGAAACTAAGTTATGGTATAATAATGTGGTCTGTATAAACTTCTACTTTCCCTAGAAAGTTACTCAACAGCAACCTAACATTGTTTTGTGCTTAAAGTTAAAGTTCAGCGTATGTGTGCAATTTTTTTAAACAAAACTTATATGTTATTTTTTTAGGTGTTATTTATATTATTTATTAATTAAAGTTATAATTTTATTTTTAAAAATATTTGATTTAATGATATTTCATATTTTTAGATGAAATTTTAATTTTAATTTTAAAAATACTTATAGTATTAAACTTAAATTTTATTTTATTTTTAATGTAAACTATACCATATTTATCTCTATCAATAAAGTATTTTTATTCAATGCAATATTATATAGATCAAATGCGGCTATACAAAAGTTGAAAGGTAAAATTGTTTTTATTTTATTTTTTCAATATTAGACTAATAAAGCAATTTGGCTAAAATTTTAAATAATAATATTTATTACTAATTTTATCTTTTTCTATTTTAAGAAAGTTATTTTTTTTTTGTTTTTTTCATAAAATTTATATAATTTTTCAAATTTATTATATATTCTTAACAGTAAAAATATTTGATTATTCTTATATCTATTACAATAGAGATATAGATATTAGAACTTAATTTAAATACTATAATAATATAAAAATTGTACACTATTATTTAATCATAAATTATTATATAAATAAGAATAATATAAATGTTATGTTTTAATTTTATTCTTCTAACTTTTAAAAGTCTTTTAGACATGCTATTTTTTACAAATATACAATTTATCTTATTTGAATGTGTAACTTTTTCTCCCTCTTCTCCTTTCTTTTCTTCCTTCCCTTCCTTTTTCTTGTTTATTAATTATTTTTCCTTCTTTTTCATCTTTTTTTCTTTTTCTTTATCCTTTCATTATGTAAGATTGAAAAAAAAGAAAAAAAGATAATAGTGCATAGTCGAACTTATATTTGTATTTGAACTGCATAGTCGTCAAAGCTTGGGCTTAATACGAGATGAGATTATTGTTACCAAAATTTCAACAAATGAAAATAAGATAAAAGGTGAATATATATATATATGAAAATAATTATCAATACATGTAATAAAAAAGACAAATTTTTTAATAAAATTAATATTTTAAACGATAAATATTTTATTTAAAGTATTTTTAAAAGTTAAAAAACTAAAATAAATAAAAAGATTATTGGAGAACAAAATTAAAACTTACTTTAAAATTAGAAGATAAAACATTAACTATTTAAATAAAATGATTTAATACTAAATAAAAATTAAAAAATATTTTATATAAAATTATAAAATATCAATTTAATTTATTTTAACTTTTATATTATATTCAAATCAAATAAAAACAAATAACATATTTTATGTTTGATTTAGATAAATTTTAGAGTAAAAATCAACCCGACCTGAATCATAAACACCCTTGTTATCTTGTATTATGGAATAAGAATATATTTTATCCCATGAAATATGTGAATTAAAAATAAAAAAATTAGAATAATATAACATTTTGAATTTATTATTTTAATGTATACTATTTTTCCATTTCTCTCGTATACCGATCAAAATTAAAAATTTATTTTAATCTACAATAACGTTAAATATAAATTTTTGATTAAAAAATCTAATTTTATTTGACAAACAACACCTAAAACATACCACATAAGTTTTTTACGATTAAAAAAGCATAACAAAATTGAAATTGAAAAAAGAATATTACTGAATGTTATTAAGTGACGCTGATACGTCACCTTCTTGATTTGGTTGGATTCAAACCCATCATCCACACTGTACATCCCTTCTTCCTTCTTACTTCGTCTTATTCTCCAACTCATTGCCAAACCAAACACAAACTTCTTCTTCTTCTTATTCTCTCTGTCTCTCTCTCTAGACGACGTCGTTTCTTGTCGGCCAGCCATGTCGTACGACTACCTCTTCAAGTACATCATCATCGGCGACACAGGTTCTCTGTTACCCTCTTTTTTTCTCCCAACTGGGTCTCCCAATCTCACTTCAAGTTTGGGTTTTTCTCTGGTGCGGTGCAGGTGTAGGGAAATCGTGCCTGCTCCTCCAATTCACCGACAAGAGGTTCCAACCCGTTCATGATCTCACCATTGGTGTTGAGTTTGGTGCTCGCATGGTTACCATCGATTCCCGACCTATTAAGCTTCAAATATGGGATACTGTTAGTTCTCTCTCTCTCTCTCTGTCACGCACAATATACTTATTTTTTTAAATTTTTTTATTACTTAGTTATGCTTTTTTATTTTTAATTAATTTTTTGTTAGGGCATTTTAGATTAGGTGAGAGTTGAGTAAAGGATAATTTGTTGAACAGTAAAGTAAAATATTTGTGATTAATTGCTTTTACAGATTTCTGTGATCATAAGCTTGTGCTAAATTTTTAGTGCAATTTTTTTTTTGGTCTTGCTAGGACACTTGTTAAGGAATCAATAAATAGTAAGTTTTATTAGAAATTGATGTATTAGAAATGAAGAGAGTGAGTTCATCTTTACGTTTTTCAATAAATATTCCTATATTTTATTCCTTAACTAGTGCCCCACGGGCACGTTTGTCATTTTCCTTTCCCATTTTCTTGATTGTGTGGTGGGTCTGTGTATACAGATATTGATTTTAAAACAAGAAGGTATTGATATGTTGTTGTGAGAAAAAATGTGAATTTTATTGAATCACCAGTGATACTTTAGATTAAAAGGAAAAAGAAATGAAGGTGCCAGGTAATGCAGTGGGTAAAGTTCTTTGCTGTATGTTGCGATGAGTTGTGGTTATATTGACAAACTAGTGTATGCTTTCATTGCTTTTGATCCACAACATGGTGTTTGTTGAGTCTGAATAAGATTCAACATTGTCAATAGTGTTGAATGTGGAATTCTTAGTCATGTATTCTGTCCAAGTGTCTGAAGATTTATTTTTCAATAGTATTTAGATACTGATGCAGAACATGTTTAACTGTAGGCTGGGCAAGAGTCTTTTAGATCCATCACTAGGTCGTACTACAGAGGAGCAGCAGGAGCACTTCTAGTTTATGACATTACAAGGTGGGTGGTGCTATTATCTATTTGACATAGAGATCATGGTCTGCATCTTGAGAATTATACTGAACTTTGTATCACCCTTCTAACATGCACCTATTTTGTCTGGTATTTACCACTTGCATGAATGCTGTATCCTCTGATGTTCACTATGCATGTAATAGAAGTGACATGCTGTATATTTGTAAAGTTATGAGTCTAAAAACTTTTAGTGTCTGACTTTAGCTTCATTATTGCCTTCTATTTTGTTATTGTTGATCACCCAGTTTGAAAGCTTCAAATCTCTTGAAACTAGGATTCTAGAACATTTGTGTCTTAGTTATTTTCAAATTTTATATGGTTTTTGGTTTTCCAATACCTTATCTGAGGAGCTCTACCACTGCTGATTGCAAGCAATATGTTCTGTTACATTCATATTTGTTTTTTTTTGTGTGTGTTTCTCAAGTTTATGAATGAATGCATGTTCTATGCTGGTTTTGGGGGGGGGGGGGGGTGTTGTTTAATCTGAGGTTTGTTCATTTTTCTAATTGCCTTCAACTTAACACCAAAAGATTCTTTTCTTGACCAGGAGAGAGACATTTAATCATTTAGCAAGTTGGTTGGAAGATGCCCGGCAACATGCCAATCCTAATATGACAATCATGCTCATTGGGAACAAGTGTGATCTGTCTCATCGAAGGGCAGTGAGCAAAGAGGAGGGGGAGCAATTTGCAAAAGAAAATGGACTTTTGTTCTTGGAGGCTTCTGCTAGGACAGCTCAAAATGTTGAAGAGGTTGATATATCTCAGTCAATATCAAGATACAGCATTATATGCTTTGCAGCCTCATGGATATTGTGAATTTCATTACCATCAAAAGTAACTTCTGTTTATTCTGCAGGCTTTTATAAGGACTGCTGCAAAGATTCTTCAGAATATTCAGGAAGGTGTCTTTGATGTGTCCAATGAGGTAATTATTTACTGTTAGTTTCATGCAAAAAGCGGTGGGAAGTTAGTTGTGGCAATATCTTGGACTCTGATCATTATTGGTCCCACTCAATTGTGGCATCAGGTTTATAAATCAAATTATTAGAATGATAGTTCATGTGATGAAAGCTTATTCTTCCATTTGTGTCTTGGGAATGGATGTTTTCATGTTTTTATTGTCATTTTTAGTGACCTGAACATTAGAAATCTTGTATTTTTACTTGTCTTGAGAATGAATGTTTTCATCTTTTTACTAGCAAGATTTATTTTGTGTTCTGGTGGTTGGTTTCACCAAATCGAGTTAAATAAAACTGACGCATAGAATCTTTTCTTCTTTTTTGCAAATAATTAGAATAAATAAAAAGAAAATAGTTTTTCATCCTTATGTGTCCCTTTGGCTAAGATTGCCAATGCATCTATTATTGCAGTCATTTGGTATAAAAATTGGCTATGGACGTCCACAAGGTCAATCAGGTGCCAGAGATGGAACTGTTTCTGCAAGAGGTGGGTGTTGCAGCTGATTGAGAAGATAACAACTCTGAATCTCATCCTTTTGTGCATCTATTTCTGCATTCCCTGTTTCAACCGAGTGTATACTCTCTAGACTTGACATGGAACTTTTGGATAACACTACAATTTCATGTATAGATCTAATCTCAAAGGTGTTCTTGGGACAGATTTGACTACATAGTTGTTAAGGTCTACTAAATGTTTAAAATGGTTGGCTGTTGAGTTCAATGCCAGGTGTTTATTGTTTATATCGTTTTATTGTTATTTGCCATAATATTTATATGGAGCAATTTTTTAGTAGGTTGTTAGAATATATGAAATATTCAAATTTTTTTAATCGTATCTTATCTTCTAGGATTAGTTTCATTATTTTCTTATTATCTCTGAGAATTAGTTACCATTTTTTCTTATTTTATCATGATTTGCTTCCTTAATTAGTTAGGATTACTATTAGCATAAATAAGGGTTAGTACTCAGGTTTTATAAAATCCTCAACACATTGATATACATTTCTGTCAATATCATTTTTCTTTTATCTCTCTTCCTCATTCTATACTTAAAAAACCATAATTTTAACATGGGTATTACCTAAAACACTCCAGTAAATGTTAAACATGCTTAAGGTTTTGTGACTCGTGTTTATAATTTATCAATCTTTAAAGATGCCTTTATACAAGTCAACAGATGAATGGACTGTTTAAGGGATGATGTGATAGATTGTGGTTGGATTTGAATTTGGACTCGTTTGGAAGAGTTTATAGGCAAATATATCCTTTAATGTTGAATGAACCCAAATGGAAAATAAAAGGAGGAAAAAGCCCTAGTTTTGCTATTGGTATATCATGCCAAATTTACAAAATGAAATGTGCATTTTATTATTACAGCATGTAACAAATTTATGCTAAAATTAATGTGATGTACACTATGTTCGAACCAGCATATTTTACCCCTAATGAGCTTTTATTTCAGCGAACAGCACCAAAATTTCTTGTATACAGCAGCTTTATATTTCTTAAAAATAATACCCGACCCTTATGAATTTAGCTTTGAATTATTGTTAGCAGAAAGTTGAACTATCGTGATCATTATTAACCGAATAATCTTTTTACGATGCTGTATGGGTCTAGTCCCTCAGATTATTCAATTGCATACTAAATTACAATGAAAGATTACTCTTCATATTATTTTCAACATTCGTGCCGTTAGCTTTATTTTAGGGTAGTGATAGAAGCATTTTTTATTCAATAACCAACCCAAAAAAAAAGGGCAATAATATGAATAAATTACAATATTATGTAATCAATATGAAAACAGGAAAAAATTGCATTGATTAGAAAGAGAACATTTGTTACACAGAATTGTACAATGTAGTTTATCAACTCTTCATTAAAGAATCGTGATAGCATAGAATTTAAAATAAAATTGAACACAAAATAAGATTCAAATAACCTACACTGGAATCAAAGTACTCCCATTCTAGACAACATATTTGGGTGTCTACATTTCATAATTGGACGGTTCGCAGCACTGTCAAAACGATTCATTTATAACAAATCCTGCCCAACTTACAAATTCAAATCCCGTTTACCTCATTCTATGTTTTAAGTGTGCATATTGCATTGATTTCATTTCGAAAACCTAGATAAAAAAGAAAGTGTTCTCTAGAAAAATCATTACACATTAATAATATACATAAAAAAAATCATCGGCGATCGGGAACCAAGTACACAGAAAAATTGCAATGTACTTTTTGGCTCCTGCTGTTGAAGGTTTACATGCATTACGACCCACCAAATACCTGGATGCACATATTGGAAAACCTTGAATTAAAAACTAATGACTTTATACATTAAGTTACAACATATATTCGAAAGTGAGAAAAAAGAGAGCAATAAAAAACACAAAACAAAATGAGACACCAAAAAAATAATTATTATCTCTAACCAATTATGAAATTGATACTTACAGCATCCAGTATATCGTCAGAGAGCTCAGGTTTACTTTCTTTTGCGTTAGCAGCTATCGGCTTTGTCTGAGGGAAATGGCGAATCACTTTCGTGACTTGTCCCGAGTCTTCTTGAATTTTTTGCTTCTGCGAAAGTGGAATGAGATGATATCAGTATGAATTGATTGTTCAATATACATTGAAATTTGAAAACATACTGATGAAAGAAATAGCTGAAGGTATCATTCGACTAACTTTCTCATTACCAATATTTGTGAAGGAAATTATACAAGTCAGGATAAAAGCATCAGCATAAGAAACACTACGTAACCGTAAACAAGTGCATGATAATTCAAGAATTATTTGTGGCTTCAATGTAAAAGTATCTACATTAACAATCTAAAACAATTTCTTCCATTAAAGAACAAGTTATACAGGTCAAATTGATTAAGCACATGCAGTGGACCACAAGAAATGTGAATCATAAATTCAGAATACACAAATTTTCTGGGGATTGTGAAAATGTGACAGATCTGGCTATTTTTCAAATGTCATCAAGGAGTAAGAATTTTACAGTTTCAATCTGCCAAATGAATACAACAAATTATTAGCCATATCAGATGAGTTCCTTCAAATCCAGCAGTGTTCTATTTATCATACAAGTCAAAAACCGACAATTAAAATCTGTGGCAGATTCCAAAGCCAATGTTAATGATTTAATTAATGCTTGTTCTCAAAATTGGATTTATTTAATTTATCCACAATTCTCATTGTTAGGTTAGTTCCCTTTAAAGGGTTGGATTCAAAGCCTCACAAACAAAAGATATAATCTGAGTCCCAAATAGTTGCCAAAAATAAAATTTATAGTATCAGTTGCATTGCACTGCACTGTTGTTCTAGAATAGAGATAGAATAGATCTACTTCACTAACATTTCAGAGAGAAATTATTCACGGATTAATCTTTACAAATTATATATATAAAAAGGTCTCCCATTTCCATAACTTATGAGCAATTTATATTAGATAAATATCAGAAGAGGTGAATAAGTGAAAAGAAAGCAGTAAAAATGATATATCATGGTCTGCTAGAATTGCTACTCACAACAGCTATATGAAAGCTGAAAGGAGACACGGTGTTAAGACTCAAGGCAGCAAGGAGGGCTAGGATTTTGCTAAATTTGTGGTTTAAAACTATAATTCTTCCGGTTCAAGTTGAGAATTGGATAATGCTGGGTTATTTTACAATTCTTGAAAGTTAAAAATGCAGTAAATAAATTTCAATTGTAAGCCAAAAGCTAAAAAGACATGGTAATTGAAATTAGAAAACTGAATTTAAATGTTAAGCTTCATTACTTGCTCAATTTCATGCTCCAATTAATGGAAAACTTTTTTTCCATGAAAAATGCTAACCCATTTTGTGACCAACCAACCAATTAATCAACACAAGATTTTTGAAAACCGACAATTTTTGATAGACAATTAAAAACAACTACCCCCTTAGTTATTTCCCTTCTCATACAATTCGGGTTATTTGATATCATCCATATGTTACAAAATCTTGTACCAACACAGAAAACAGCAGGAAATGTTCATCACTAGGTGGAGATTAGAGAGAACTACCCATTTCTTGTTTATTGGGGTTGGCTTCCATCAAACCAAATAAATTCTTAATCAACATATGATTTCTTTCCTAACATATTAAACACGTGAAGTACTTACGTCTGACATATTTAAACTGAATTTGACGATGGGATGATATACTTAATTTACTTTTAAGCCTTTAACATGTGTAGAGGGCAGACATAGTGTATAATTCACTTTTAAGTTCTTTAACATGTGTAGAGATAGTGTACCTTCTTTAGTCGCTCCTCTATAGCATTCAAAGCACGTGATTGATCAACTTTGGACAGGTAGAAATCTCTCTCTCTCTTGGCAGCAGAAAGTTCTACAGCCAGCTTTTGCTCCCGAATAGCTTTCTTTAAGGCTGTAATGCAAATACATTGTTTTAGCATAATCTTCTTAAACTCAACCACCTAAAAGCAAGACACTGATCACAAAGCACTTACCAAGTTCTTCAGTCAGATCATCCCACTTGAACTTACTCAAGTACTTAATATTCCAAAGGTCATAGTAGAACGATGACCTCTTCTTTCCCCCTGGAAGATGAACAACTAATCATAAACTTGAAAACAAAATCAATACAGACAGACACATCACACAACAAATATCCTGCTACAACAATGAAATAGAACTATGAACACATCATACTACTATTTCAACAACTTCACAGAATAAAAAAACTAATTCTAGAGTTTCTAGGGCAACACTGTGGTTCCCAATAAAAGACTGAAGAAGAAAGAGTAACAGCCTAACAGGTATTGCCACGCAAGTCTAAGTCCAGCTACTACACGTAAACACCATATCATATTTTTTTCACAAAATTCAAAACAGTATATAATAGTCAACACATGTGATTTACCAATATTCTAGAATCTATAGTAGACAGCATCACAATTTTATTTAAGAATGAAGAACAAAGCAACAAGTGAATGACGGTGACACAAGGTTCAGACACATACCTATCTGTTCACCATTTAACATATTGGCAACCCTCTTAGCAACACTTTTTTTGGCGAATTCAACCCATCTACACATTCATAGAGAAAAACCCAATGATCAAATTCAAAACCTACCAACATAAAAATAATAAACCAAACCACTTGAACAAGTTCAATCAAACGGATACCAATCCAATTCAAAAACAAAACAAATATAAGTAAATAAATACCCTTCTGAATACGCTTGGTCTCGGGATCCACGGGACCTCTTGGCAGGCACTGGAGCACCAGAATCTGATAAATTCCAAAAAAAAAAAAAGAGACAACTTTACAAATTAGCAAAACTCAAAATAACCAAATGATGTATAATAAATGTTTAAAATTAAATTAAAAAATAAGTGGTTGAGTATAAACCTACGCTATAAAACACTATAATCGAGTTCGTCTCTAAATAAAAGAGTGAGAGAGAGAGAGAGAGAGAGCGAGACCTTGAGGAGCCAGAAAGATTCTTTGAATATCGCCGAATTGAGAGAGAATGTGACGAAGCTTGACGTGGTCCATGTGAGGTGGGATTCGACTCAAATAGCACACGCCGCGCTTCTCTCTCTCCTTCGACACCATTTTCTTCTTCTTCTTCTTCTTCAATCTCGTGTTCTCGCCATTGGAGGTGGTTGCTGTTACGTCATCAATCACAGCGTTTTCCCCCTCCGAAGCTTTCATCGTTGTCTTCTTCTTCTTGGGTTTCAAGCCAAACTCTGAGCTTCAAGAGTTTCAACTAAATTTTTAGGGGTTTTGTAATGTAATGAAAATTGAAACGGTATTCAGTTTTTTGGGCCTGGGTTGAGGCCCTGGATCTAAATGATCTGGGCCATATTTTTGTAGCCCACTTCTAAAAGATTTTTGTTTTTGCCTTTTGACCCAAAGCTTTGGTATCTCCCCTTGCACATACCTTAGTTTTATCAGTTAATTTTTAGAAGTAATTTATATTTTTAAATATAATTTTTAGAACAAAATTTAATACATTTAAAAATTAAATTTTAGAAAAAAATTAGAAATCATTTTAAAATTTAAATTTCAGAATATTATTTATATATTTTAAAATTAAATTTTTCAGATAAAAGAGAGGTGTCTAAAAAATTCCGCTTAATCATCAACAAAAGAAGAAATTCCCCTCTCCTATGTGCAGCATTAAACTTTGTATTTAGCCATGCTGTGACATTTAAAGCTTTTCATTGGTTGTTATTATAAGCATTTCATTTCAAATACTTTTTTTGGGTCTAATCTTTCACATCATGTGGATTAGGTTAAGCTTAGGGTCAGCCTTTATAAGAAAATCAATAAAATTCGTATATTTACATCAATATTTATATCATAAGTTTTATTCTTCATTTTCAAAATAATATAATCTTTATACATACACCGTCAAGTAACTTCTCTATCTGTAGTATATTTTCTCTGAACTTTTACATCAAACTTACTTTCCTAAATTATTTTAATTAATACTTAAAATTTTCAATTAATGTCAAGTAAAATAAATATTTTTAAATTATAAAAATAATATTTTCTCAATTAAATTAATTTTTGACTGATTCTATCCGTTTAGAACATGATTGTTTCTTGAAGATGTTTATGGTAAAAAAAAATTATAAAATAGAGCTTTTAGTTAATTGCTAGGTGAAATTAAGAATAATAATTTAAATGTGATGGAATTAGATATTAGAATTGTGATTGTATTTCTAAAGGAACTTCTAAACTATATAATAACAATTCAAAGATTCAATTATATTTTCTAAATTCTAATTTCATGTATAATTTTATGAGTTATTAAACAGGAGATGACAGTCAAATGAAAGGAACCTCTTTTTCATAATTAGCACACTTACAATAACTACTAAATTTCTTAGCAATGATTCTGTAATAGTGGTTAACTGTAAATCACAATGGAGATGAAGATATGCTTACCTATAAAGTTTCTTCTTTTCAAAAGAAGAAATTAACTAAATTTTCAAGAGAATTAAGAAAAAAATACTTTTCAAATTAAACCTACGCAAATTTGATAGATCTGATTTAACATCCACTTAGGTGAATTCATGGATTTATCATAACTGATAGAAAGAAAAAAAATTAACTCTTGGTTGGAGTATGTAATATTGTTAATCTATTGCATAGTGGTGTGCGTAGGTCATCAAGTATAATGATCAGCTTCCATTTAGTCAGCTCATCAAATAATGAACTCAATATTCTCTTTTCTACAATAATTAATCAATGAATCAAAATCATAAGGATAATCTCTTGGATGCATGGTTCAATGAACCCACACTTTATTGCATCTTTGGTTTCAAAGGTTATATTGAAACAAATATATATATTTTTTCATACGACATCTTCTTCACCCTTTGGACCAAAAGTTGAAACAGCATCAGCCACTGATAGAAATACTTTATCTTCCCCAATTAAGTCTGTTAACTTGGATGCATGGAGCTTCTCCACTACAATTGACCCCGGGTTTGCCAAGAGAAGCTGTGAAAAGACCGTAGATATTAATGTTATCACAATTATATATTACAAGTTGCTTTGTAAATAATAATAGGGATAAATATGTTCATAATTTCCAAGATATAATGAAATTTCATTCAGCATGAAATTTCTTATTATCTAACAGAGAGCTTTCTTAACTTATTTAACAATATGAGGACAAAGTAATATAAAAATTAAAAAAAAAAAGGGATGAAAGGTCTTGGTTAAACTTCTCTTAAACCTTAATAGGTTATAATATAATATTTCATAATGATAATAAAATTTTATTATTATTAATAGTTTAAATTCAACATAAGAGTTGAAGATAATATTTTTCTACTACTACTACTAATAATAATACAATTTTTTAAGGTATTGTTTTCCCACAAGAAATTCATTTGATTAATTGTTTGGCTTGAGCTATATCTTAGCCAAACAAATACAATAGAGGACAAGGATTTAGCAATTCCTTAACAATCATGGCAAATTTTAAGGACAAAGCTTAACCGGTAACTGGAAATTTTTAGAAATGACGAGTGATGTAGAAAATGTTAAATTTTGTGAATATTTTATCAGAGTAAATATATGATTTGATACCTAAAAGTGGCATCCTATTTATCTTTGCTGCTTAAAAGTTTCACTTTGTATAATTTAACCCTTGAATGTGTTAACTTACTCACATTTTGATCCTTCCCTCACAAAAATGTTAGCAAAATGAGAGTAATTATAAGCAAAAATAACATATCCGAAGACCAAATAGTATACAAGTACACTTTCAGTGACCAATCAGTTTCCTAAACGGATCAATATATGAACAAATGAATACTTGTAGACCAAATTATACAAAATGACCAATTTGTGTATTTACTCATATTATTACCTGAACTTCTCTTTTCTGTAGGCGCATATATAACTCTTCAAAGGCATGGATGCCACTAGAGTCAATATCAGTAACAGCTGCAAAAAGAATATGTATGCATGAATAAATTCATTCCTCAAAATCAACCATGAAAAAAAAAGGAAGAAAGGATCTTATGGAAAGCTTTACGTGACATTTCAACAGTGAGATACTGTATTCTAGGTAATCCACTTCTTGTCCTTTGTACACCTTCATCAGTGAGCCATCTCAAAATTCTGTAAATTATGATTGAACTGTGTTCATTAGGTTCAGTACCATTAAGTACACTTTTTGTAACCTTGATCTAAAAGTGTCTATAAACTTGTAACATTTTACCTCAATGTCGAGGGTCATTATTCAATTTCCAATATAAATTTTACTAATAAATCTTATCCGTGAATTTTTCACCTTCATTTTTACTAAACTGACCCTACAGTGAAAACATTGGATACCAGAAGCCAAAGGTTCTCACATTAGATTTCTAGGTAATGATTGTTCACAACAGACAGCTCAAGGTTATTCAATTGTCCTATACCAATTTGAAGTCACCATTTTAAATTATGCCATGTAAATTTCTACAGGTACATACATTTATATTAAGACTAACATTTAATTACCTCTCCTTAATATAATTTGAGTTTGAAAAGTAGATTGAAGAGTCAACCCTGATAATCAGCATGCCACTAATTTGAGTTGCTTTGGGATATTGCTGAATGTTCCTGTAGATTGTTGTCCCAGGAAGCTTCCCTAGTACTGCAGTCCTTGGCCTTGTTACTTGTAAAAGGATTTTGGCAAAAGATATTGCCACCTGCATAAAGAAGGTTGAATAGATATTAAAAATTGGCAAAAATGCTTCATATCTTTTGAATTGCTCTAGATTTCTCTTTCATTACCGCAATTAGAAGGCCAATCTCAACACTTATGAAGATCACACCAAAGAAGGCTCCCATGCAAGCCACAAAATCAAATTTGTCAATCTTCCACAATAGAATAAATGCATCAATGTTCACAAGGCCAATCACAGCAGCTATCACAATAGAAGCAAGTACTGCATTTGGAGTGTACTTAAATAGTGGTGTAATAAATATCAGAGCTAGTAATACAACAACGGACAAAACAATGTTTGATGCAGCAGTTTTACAACCAGCCATATGGTTCACTGCTGAGCGAGCAAAACCCCCTGCATGAAGATGAGAAGCGCTTATTAGGATGACATTGACAGGTAAAAAAAGTACAAGGTTTCTTAAGGTGAGTTTGGAAACACAATGTAATTAAGCGATTATTCAACAAGCTCTTTTACATAAAAGGCTTATCCTATAAATTTGACCATAAAATTTCTTGAAAAAAATTAAAAAGAACTTATTCTGATAAACTATACTTGGAATCTTATTGGAATAAACTAAAAAGAATTTATAGAAGCTATAAGCTATTTCCATAAACTCTTCCAAACGCCCCTTAAGTCCTCTTTTATACCTGTAGATATATAGCAAGATGTTAGAGAACCAACAACATTCATTGCTCCCATTGCCACCATTTCTTTGTTACCATCCAGTGAATAACCTTTTAGGGAAGCAAATGTTCTCCCAATCGCTATGGCCTCCTGAAGTTTAACAAAATTTGGCTTAAGTGTCTTCAAGAAAAGAAGAGAAGAGGAATCATCAGTGAAATTCACTTACCGTGAGTGCTATCATACCGGCTACCACACCAATCCGAACTCCAGGGCCTAGATATTTTCCACTGAAAAAAATCTCACTAGCAGATGTTGGATTCACGCCCTTTTTAACATGTCTCAACTGAAATAGCATATTTTCAGTTCAAAGTGCTTAATTGAGCTCAAACTATTCAATCAATTTTGTGCCACTTACAATTGATACACCTTTCTTATCAGCCCTGGTAATGTAGACAAAAAAGGTAGACACTATAATAGAGATCATAGGAGCAATTGCAGCCACCCAAAAGAGTTTCTTATTCTTCTTAGCCTGTCCATTACAACAGAACAGTTAAGAAAGTTCAAATAAAAAGGAAAGAAAACTGTTGTTGGCATTCTTACATACAATATACTTTGTTATAAGAAGGAAGACCAAGAATGATACTCCAATGACTATTGTCTCCCAATTCCACTGTAAGCAAAGATTTAACCAAATGCTAGTGAGCCTGATTTTATTTTATATTTTCCATCTATACTTAAGGAGAACTTCAAAACAAAATGAAGAAACTTTACCCCGTGGTGCACTGTACTCGTAACTGAGTGCATGACAGAAACAATATCACTTTTCTTAGTGAAATTTTGTATGCCAAGTAGGCCTTTAAGCTGTTGCAGTGCAATGGAAATGGCAGCTCCACTCATGAATCCCACAATGGCAGCATCAGACAAGAAGTCAATCAGGAAGCCAAGTCTGCAAAATTCAACTCAAGAAGAATGAATATAGGCAAAGCAAGAAAGAGTACTAAGAGCATAAGAATCATCTACCAATACAACAATAAAGTACCTCAAAACTCCAAGTGCCATTTGAGTGATTCCTGCAAAGAAGGTTGAAGTAAAAGCAAGACGCAAGTATTCATGACTTTTGTAATTACTAATCTCATTGCTAAGCATAGTTCCAAGCATGAGGGATACCACAGCTACAGGTCCTATGGCAATATCTCTTGAGGTTCCCATGAAAGCATACACAAGAGGAGTCACAAAGCTGGTATCTGCACACACACACACACATTGACAGAAAGCCAAGTTATATGATTGAAGAGTGGATATCTAATATGTCAAGGTTGCTCAAAATAAATCAAGATGCTCACATAGTGCATGCTGCGGATCCAAATTTGCAAGCTTTGCATAGGCAATGTCCTGTCATGGTCATGACTCATGTTAAGGAGGGACCATTCAAAAAAACACATACCAAAATTTATTGGATAAATAGTTAGTTTGGATAAGCTTCTCAAAAAAATGCTCATTGGAGAAGAAAATAAAATGAACTTGTGAACTTAATTGTAGTGGTTAAATCACAAAAATTAGTATTTCATTGAGAGTTGGGTTACGGAAGGATTAAGGTGCAATGTATCAAATATAAATAGGGAAGTGAAGTGGCCGAGAGAAGAAGATAACATTTGGTCAGTTGTAATAAAGACAAGTCATGGATGTCAGCTCTTAAAAGAGGGTAACAAAGTTAAGAGTCCTACCTTGAATAAAATAAGAAACTCACAGTAACACAAAACTCCTATTCTTCCATCTTCCCCCAAATGGATTAGTCTTTAGGTTGGATTCTCCTTATATTACCTTCTTCACTTATTCTATTTTCTTTTCTTATAAGTACTCATTGAGAAGTTTATCCAAGCTAATCCTGCTAATATTGTTGAGTAGTTAGTTACTACTTACTTGAGGAATACATAGACTTGCAAGTGTAAGTCCAGCCATCAAATCACCTCTAAATTTTTTGAGATTGTAACCTCTTCCCCAATCAAAAATGGGGAAGACTGATTGCAAGGCTAGAACAAACTTTCTTGAACCAGGTTGGCCCTTATATTTGTCAAAGGGGTTGTCTGGGAATAAAGTCTCCACAAAAGAATGTTTGATCTCTTGGAAAAGTGTCTCCTTAGGAGGAGCTCCCACCTTGTGAATATGTGGCAATGTTGTTAGTTCCTCCATGGCATTTGCCACAACCTCATCACTAACACGCTGACTCATTTAATGATCTGCAGAAAACAGTAATTATCAAGGAAAAAGTAGCTTATGTTAGCATGGAGCAATATATTTCAAATTCAACTACTTAAAATGTTGCATTGTCACATTTTGTGAAGTGAAATTTAGCTTAGTTTTCTTAGAAGGAATCATGTAAATATCTGAGTCTCATTTGGACAAAGAATATTAACTGATTCAAGAAGATAGTGAAAGTAACCAAATGATGTTACAAGATCATATAACACATGAACTTGTTATTTTTGTGACAAAGCCAATGCTTTTATAGATTTTGAAATTTGAAATGTTGGAAATATCAACTGCACAAGCTAGACCTTGGTTAAACAAAATATAGTTCTATTTATTAATCAAAGTAAACCATACCATTATGATATATAAGATTTCGTACGTAGACAAACGATTCTACAATTTCTATATTGTTCAAGTGGCAAGGGGAATGATTAAATGACAACATAGAAATGGGGTTATGATAAAACTCTTAAATCGAATTATTGTGTGAACTAATATATTCTTGCAAACAAATAGGCTTAATTATTGCCATTGACCAAAATTATCAATTTATTTACACAAACACAAGGATGGGAGTGTGTTCATTTTATTTCTCCTCCAATGTTACTTGTTGGGGATTCATTGAATATTGTGCCGTGTATATTATAATAAAGGACAAGGAAATTGTTTACCAAACATAAGGAAATTTCTAACGTTAGATATATTTATAATATAATGAATGATCTAGCTTATAAAAATAATAGCAGGTAGGTAACCTTGTTATATTTTATCTAAATTGCAAATGAGTCTCCATATATAAACATTTGTAATTGCAAAAAATTCTCAAACAATGAGAAGAGGCAGAGATAAAGGGAGATTGGACAAATAGAACAGACTGTGATTTAAAAATGATATCCAGTGCATGTTCCATAAATTATATTTTAGGAAATAATTTCACATTTCTTAAAAATTCTGATGATAATATATATATAAGTTTTTTAAAAGAAGTTGAATCAAATGGGCATTTGGATTTGACCAAGCCCAATGAGAGAAAATTGTGTCTGTAAAGGAAATTGTTATAGACAACACTTTTTTGTCATTTTTTAAATTTAATTTTTGAAGTGATTTTATAGCTCATGAAAATTAAATTTGGAAATTATATATATATATATATATATATTATTTAAAATTTAGAATTGATTTTATACCTTCTAAAAATTATTCTAAACAGAAAGAGATAATACAACTAACAAATATGAATGGTGCAAAATATCATCTCCTTCGATTTGTTGCGCTCCTACGCATTCAAGGTTTTTTGTGCATATCTTTCTTCTTATTATTAAAAATTGGAGGATGAGAAATAGATGAAAATAAAATATATATTATTTGGAGAGTAAATAAATAATTGTATAAAAATACTTTTATCATAACATAAATTATAAAAAAATAATTTAATACAAACAAATAAATTATAAATATATACTTGTTTCTTAATATTTATGAATTTTTATATTATATTAAAAAATATAACAGTAAAATATATTTTTTAAAAATATAAATTTGTGGGGCCCATACTAACACTTTTCTTCCTTCCTCTAAAAGATAATGCCACCAAACCATGGAAAAGAGTTTATTTTCCTTAAAATTATTGATCGTTTTTTTTTTTTTTGAAAATTTTCTTTGCATCCAACAATGTGATAAAGTGAACAATGGGATATTGTGATTTCACTTGGCTTTTGATGATAATTCTAAATTTCTGATAGTAGAATAATGCTACTCACATTATTTCTTTATATACAATTTGCATAATTAATTATAGTATATCATATTATGGTGTTTCTGTGTTGCAATGGTAACCTTAGGGTAACAAAATAAGAGTTACCATTCCTTTCTCCAACTCAAACTCCAAGCACTTGTTATAAGCTTGTCACCACATCCCATCAATCTAATATTTCAACCTTACAACTATTCAACTATCTTTTATCAATTAGTCTCTTCCTTCGACTTGTACCAATTGACTATAGACTAAATGTAAAATTTTAAATGTCTCATGTGAGGAGCATGTGATTTGTCTAGGGTTTAATAAGTAATTAATTAATTATTAAGGGTTAAATTGTAATTGAGTAAATGAGAAACGGTTTCATAAATTTTAAATAATTGCTGTTTGATGAAAATAGTGATTGAAACGGTTACAATTAAGAACGTGTGAAACAGGTCCTCTTCTTGACTGTAACGTATTCTCTCCCTTCATCATCAATAACGTAGAGAGAATAGAAGGATAAGTACAAGGAGACAAAAACTGATTTTTCTCTCACATAGAAGAAAAGTCATCAAGATTTATTTGTCTCTTTAACGATGGATAGAGGTTAGTCAATTCGTTCATGTGAGAATCATGATATTTCAAGTTCCAAATAATTATATACCTTTTATGTTAAAAACTTACATGTGCTATCAGAGACAGATTGTGAAATTTGTGATTCTCCATAAATAATTTTCCCAATTTTATAAACCCTTATTTTGAAATTGAGAATTTTAATTTCGGCTGCACGTATGAACCTGAACCCGTGATTGTGTATTTGAAATCAACATTTTTCGAGTATGGCTACACGAAATTTTATGGCAAATAATTTGTTAAAATATTATTATTTGCATTATTAGCCATTCAATTACCGCATATCGATGTCGATGACCTTTGCTCAGCGTAACATGTATTTCATTGGCATTGAAATAATAGAATTTACTTTGTATGTTAATTGGCATGCGCAGTATGATTTCATAAGTATATAATTGAACGATTGCCAATTTCAATGTGTCGTACAATAATCATATTATAATTATTTATTGTGAGGCTTCAAAGTATGTGGTTACGAGACGCTGACTGAATTATTTGATTGATTGGCAAGAGTTCTAGAATTTGTTTATGAAATTAATTGATTGCCAATAGCAGTATATTTCCATTATTGATTAATCATTAATTACTAGTTGCTGATTGCTGTATAATTCAAAGGTTCATTATATGATTATTGTGATTGAAAGTCAATTTGTTTTGGGATTATAGTATGTGATGAATTTTGTTAATCACCAAAGTGATCAAATTCATAAATTTTATTTAATTCCAAATTAATGATGATTCATTTTAATTACCTATAGAATAATGGATGCTAAATATATTATTATTAGCTTATAGGTATGTATTGAAATTCATTATTATGAGACATTTCTGGATCACCCAAAGGTTGATTAATTGTTCTTATAATCAATGAGAATAATTGTAAGTAATTTGTATGTGCCATTAATTTATTTATATACCCAAAGGTAGTAGATATTTCTAATTGGTATATGTTTTATTGCCAATTCATTATGTATTGTTAGCATCATTAAATGTCATGTATTCTAATGTATCACCCAAAGGAGAACATTAGTATGCATTTAATATTAAAATGCTTTGTGTGTGTAGTGTGTGTATTTATGTCTCAAAACACTTAGGTATGTTTTAATTATGCAGTAAATGTTCCCAATATTATGCACTCTAGCATTTTGTCTGTGCCAGTTTTTAATGGGCTTAACTTCTCTAACTAGAGTGAACAAGTTCAATTTCATCTTGGTGTTTTGGACCTTGATCTTGCTCTTCAGGAAGAGAAGCTTACTGATATTACTGATACTAGCAGCAATGAAGAAAAGACCCATTATAAAGTTTGGGAAAGATCAAACAGACTTAGCCTGATGTTCATGCGAATGAGTGTAGCAGAAAATATAAGGACTGCTCTTTCCAAAATTGAAAGTGTGAAACAATTTATGAAAAATGTGGAAGAGCGCTCCCAAACTGCTGACAAGTCTTTTGTTGGGACATTAATGAGTACACTAACCAACATGGGGTTTGATGGTTCGCGTACTATGCATGAGCATGTCATTGAAATGACGAACATTGCTGCAAGGCTTAAGTCCTTAGGCATGATTGTGGATGAGAGCTTCCTTGCTTAGTTTATTCTTAACTCATTACCGACTGAGTATGGGCCATTTCAAGTGAACTATAATTTCATGAAAGATAAATGGAATGTGCATGAATTGCACAGTATGTTAGTTCAGGAGAAAATACGGCTAAAGAATCAAGGAAGTCATTCAGTCCATTACGTGAGCCATAAAAGACATCAAGGAGCTGGAAAGAAGGTTGTAAAGAAGCATGATAAGGGCAAAGGGCCATTGAAGATTAATGAGGCCTCTGCACAAATCCAGAAGAATCATGATAAAGATAAATGTCGTTTCTGTGGAAAATCTGGTCATTTCCAGAAGAATTGCTTGAAACGGAAAGCTTGGTTTGAGAAAAAGGGTAAGTTTAATGTTTATGTATGTTATGAATCAAACTTAACTGAAGTTCCACATAATACTTGGTGGATTGATTCTGGATGTACAACTCATGTTTCTAACACAATGCAGGGATTCCATTCGATCCAAGCCATAAACCCAAATGAAAGGTTCGTGTTTATGGGGAATAGAGTGAAAGCTCTAGTGGAAGTTGTCGGGACTTATCACTTGATTCTTGACACTGGACATCATTTAGATTTAGCGGAAACTCTTTATGTACCTAGTATATCTAGGAATTTAGTTTCATTATCTAAACTTGATGTTACTGGATACTCTTTTAATTTTGGAAATGGATGTTTTAGTTTATTTAAACATAATTATCTCATTGGTACTGGTACTCTTTGTGATGGTTTATATAAATTAAATTTAGATGGTTTGTATGCTGAAACTCTCTTAACTCTGCATCATAGCATTGGCACTAAACGTAGTTTAGTGAATGAACGTTCCGCTTACTTGTGGCATAGACGTTTAGGCCATATATCCAGGGAAAGAATGGAAAGACTAGTAAGAGGTGGAGTCCTTCCAGACTTGGATTTTACTGACCTAAATATTTGTGTGGATTGTATAAAAGGAAAGCAAACAAAACACACAAAGAAAAGAGCCACAAGAAGTAACCAGCTTCTTGAAGTTGTGCACAC